TTCCTGAATGAATTCAGGCGTCATAGTGCGATTTCTTTATATTTGGCTGGAAAACCACAAGTGGATATCGGTAAAGCATTCCAGCATTTAAATGTGAATAAATCTTTTGTGTCCCGTACCATCGATTGTTACCGTGATTCTGGTAGCGTAGCCCGACGTCAAAGAAGTGGACGGAAGAAAACAGCAACATCAGCAGAAATGGTTCGAAAAGTAATGAAGCGACCGCGTCGCAGTGGCCGAAAAATGGCTCGAGAGCTAAGCATATCGCAATATTCCATTCGGCAAATATTGAAAAATGACCTCGGGGTAAAGCCATTGAAATTGCAAAAAGTGCAAGAACTTACACCGCAACAAAAAGAAAATAGACTCAAAAGAGCTAAAGTGTTGCTTCGCTTGGCCGAAAGTGGTGAACTGCCGAATTTGGTTTTCTCCGATGAGAAAACGTTCGTTGTCCAGCGGTTTGTAAACAAACAAAATGATCGTGTTTACTTGCCAAATCGACTGTGGCATCAGAATAAATGCCGAATATTATCGCGAAAATATTCTGGAGGGTGTAAAGCCTTGGGCACGCAAACATTTTGGCGCAGGCCTTGGAAATTCCAACAGGTCTCAACACCATCGCACTCAGCACGCGCCACCCAGAATGTTTACAAAATCAGGTTCCTCGCTTCATTTCCAGCGCACAATGGCCACCTAAATCTCCGAATACCAATCCGTTGGACTATTGTGTTTGGAGTATTTTGAAAAGCAATGTGGGCACTAAAAAATACCAAAGTGTCGATCACCTCAAGCAAGCGCTTCGCCGGGAATGGGCCAATATACTGCAGAGCAACATTCAGGCAGCATGTGACGGTTTCATTGGCCGTTTGAAGGCGATAATTCGTGCCAAAGGTGACCAATTCTAACAAATCTAAAATTTGATGCTATATTCGACATTTTTTGCTTGCATGCGATGAAATTTAAAAATAAAAGTAAAAATTATGGCGTTTGACTTTGTTACATTTTTTTTTCTCACCCTTTATAGTTTATTGTAATTTGAATTCTGTTTACTTTTGATGAACATGATTTTTTGGAATGCATTAACGTCAAACAAAAAACGTCCTTTGTAATTAACATTTATTAGCCACAATTAAAAAAGATTAAAAAAACTGCAGAGGGGGGCAAAAATTTAATAATCGTTTGGCTTGCCACTAAAATCTGATGATTCTCCTCTTACTCTTTTACGGTCAATATTTGTAAAATTGGGGATATCCTATAGAATTTATGCAGTTTTCAGTTATACTCCCGCCATCTCTTAACTTAGGAAAATACATAAATACACGGACTTGTTATTTAAGCAATACCCTCACCCCATGTTTTCGGTTATTAAATCTGTAAAAGTTTCGCCGTGCCATGCCCCGCCTTGCCAACAACGTCCAACATAAATCCTATAAATTCCTTTAAACCCCAGAGAAGAAAATTTACTGCCGCCAGAAATAGATTTACTTCCTTACTATAATAATCCGTTGTGTATTGCCGGGTGCAGTACGCGTTATATTTTTAATAACACACATTGCAGCACACTTCCAGCCGAGGAAAACAAGCAACAACAAGCAAAGCTATGATATAAAGTAGGGATGACGTTGCCCGAATAAATTGGGGAAATGGGGAACTAAATTCTCTCAATTTTTATTATTAGCTGCGACAGAGGTAATGGAAAAAATGGAATAATCTGTAATTATCAATAAATTACAATTGAAATTCAAAACAGCCTTTTGATATTGTGAAATCTTTGGTTTTCTACTGATGGTAAGAGAATAGTGGTTTAAGAATTTCTATAACATTCGAATACTAAGATAAGTATGTTTTATAATCACATTTGGATGAAGTACTCAGATGGAAATCCTTATGTGGGTTTTCAGACAATTTTATTAAAAAAATTGGCTACAATCAAAATACCGAATATCGGGGGTACCGTTGTAAGGGGGCTATACGATATCGTGGACATATATCAACAATTCTCTTCCAGAGAGTAAAGTAATCAGATATAACTCCTTGTGTGGATTGTTAGACACTTCCATTGGAAAATGTGGCATAAATAATTAAAATACCGAATATTCGAGGTACCATTGTATGGGGGCTATACGATATCTTGGACCTATATAACCAATTCTCTTCCAGAAGGTAAAATACTTAGGAAAACCCTCAGTGTGGATTTTCCCACAATTCCACTGGAAAATGTGGCTAAAATGATCAAAATACTGAATATCGGGGGGTACGGTTGTATGGGGGCTATACAATATCGTGGGCCTATATAAGCAATTCTCTTCCAGAGGATAACGTACTCAGAAAGAACTCTTTGTGTGGATTTTCAGACAATTCCATTGGAAAATGTGGCTAAAATCATCAACATACCGAATATCGCGGAGTACTGTTGTATGTGGCCTATATGATATCGTGGACCCATATAAACTATACTCTTCCAAAGGATAAAGTGCTCAGAAAGAACTCTTTGTGTGGATTTTCAGAAAATTCCATTGGAAAATGTGGCTAAAATCATCAAAATACCGATTATCGGGGGGTACCATTTTATGGGGGCTATACAGTATCGTGGACCGATATAGCCCATCTTCGAACTTGACCTGCCTGCAGACAAAAGACGGATCTGTGCAAAGTTTTAGCTTCCTATCTTTATTTGTTTTGACTCTAGCGTGATTACAACAGACGTACAGACGAACGGACGGACAGGGCTAAATCGTCTTAGAATTTTGCGCTGATCAAGAATATAAATATACTTTGTTATGTCTAAAACAAGTAAGCAAAGGCTATAGTCGTGCGGGTCCGACCATGTGATACCCTACAACACTACAATATGTTGGAAGCCTCCTTATGTCCAAACCCATTTTGGAAGATTTCGCTTTTGAAATTATGTCAGGGAGTACTGCCCAGATATTACCCTTAGCATTTTGACTAGGGACATCTGCCCAATACTTACGCACTCCGTCGTGCCGTTAGTTGTTGTTGTCCATTTAACAGCTAAATATAATCCAATGGTTATCCAAAATGCTAGAATTATTCCCTGTCCTTAACCCTCTTCTCAGGCGGGTCGATTTGCTTCAATTGTGTAATCAGGGCATTTTTTCTGTTTTTGGCTCATTTGAACCCCTAAATATTTTGAGATCATCTACAAAAGCAATTTAGCTATATTCGTCAACGAAATTAGCAGAAAAAAGCCTGAAGTTGTATTTCGGATATCGCCCTGTAATGTTGTCTTAAATTCTAACTTCATGCAAGATTTCGTGTCGTTTGGTTTCTATTTGTGACCTTTATAACGGCTTCAAAATCACGAACATTTTGAGTTGCTGGTCCATTTCAACCCCTAAATATATTGCGGACATCTTTGAAAACAATAGTCCTAGCCCTTCTAAGCCTAACCCTACCTTTGTCAAAAATTTCGTGAGGATCGAACGATAATAGCAATCTGTATGTAAATATTAACCCCAACCTGTGTTGTAACGAGCAAAAATATTACAAAATATACACTTCAATATTATAAATCAAATAAAAAAATTCGCATGCGATAAAAAAAATATGAAAAAATAAAAAATGCCACAAAATAATACAAAATCAATATAAACATCATTGTTTGTATCTTTTTATGCGATTTTTTTTAGATTTTATCCTTTATGCCAAGAGGGCATTCTGAATTGACAAAATTTGTCAAAATCGGTCCAGCCATTTTTGAGATATAAACATTCTAACTAACATCTCCTTCCCTTGTACATACATATTGTACATATTTCGCTATATAAATTCGATGTGTTTACCACCGACTTGACTTCAGACTTGACCTGTTCGTTTACTTGTAATTTCGACGGGATAAAAAATATTCGCAGTTTAATGGAAAAATTGACTTTTATTTAACACAAATATTATGGTCTATTTCACCCACTAAATATTACCTGATGACCATAAAAATTTGAAGACTTCTGCCCAGCCCTAAGATCTAGCACCATGCTAACTTCCGCGTCAAGTGGTCTATAATTGCGACCTGTAGAGCAACTGCAAAATCAGAATTTTTTCATTTTTTGGTGCATTTCAACCCTTAAATACTATGCGATCGTCTTCAAAAGCAATATGCTTCTATTCTGGTCCTAGCCCCACCTAGATTCTAGATTCTAATTTCGTGAAGATCGGGCCATAATTACGACCTGTAGATGGATTACAAATTGACATGGACAGACCTACGGCCGGCTAGATCGACTCATCTCGGCGAGATAGGAAGATTCATACATACTTTCCCATATTTCGAGGTGTGACATAATTTTTGGCCCAATCAAACTTATAATGCCCCCAACACATAGTGTTGTAGGGTATAATGATTATTTCGATGAGTTAGAAATGGAATGACGAACTTAAAATATCCTCCATACTATGTATGGTAGTGGGTATAAAAAAAGCCTCGCAGATAATTATAACCCTTGCTATCGAACAATGTTCTCTTACAAATTAAAATTATATTCCTCAATACCAATGGGATGACTGTGTCCTTATTTCTATTGCATTATCTGTTTCAATATCTTGACCTACATTGGAAAATTTTATCGTTAAGATTTCAAAAATTTTAAATTACTGCCACTATGGTCACGCAAATATAAACAGTTATTAACCATATTGCATTCGTCGAATTGCAAGGTCGTACCCAATATTCAATATCAGAACACCAGGAATAATCCTACAACAGTAATTAATTAAAAATTCCCATTTTTTCTTGAGGTATAGAATTCCCTGCCAGCCAGAATCCCAACTGAGAAACCCTTCACATGGTGGATAGTTGTTTAGTTTGATACGCACCCAGCAAACCAACACAATACCCTATCAAAGAATGATGGCAATGATGATGATGATAATCATAATGACGATGATGGTGATGATGATGATGTGTACCAAGAAAGGATGAACAAAAAAAAAAGTGAATGTAACAACAACTACAACATCCAAAGTAATGTACTCTCACTTACCATTTGGATATTGCAGCGACATGATGAACACAAAGCCAAACATCAGGGCACGCAGCATAGATTCCATTTGCATGACATGGTTGAGTCGTAGTAGTCGTCGTCGCAACGGAAAGCGAAGATGAGGATGATGATGAAGAAGAAGCAGAGCTTTGATGCAATCTGCTGTTGTGTTGGTGGAGGCTGTGATAGTTGCTGGTTTTGTAGTTGGATTGATGATGATGTTTGTGTTGCATTTGCTATTGTTGTTGTTGTTGCTGTTGATATCTGTGATGATGATAATGCTGCTGTTGCTGGTGGTAGTGGCGGCGGTGGTGGTGTTGGTAGATGTCGTGGTTATGTTGGCGGTGTTGTTGTTTATTTGGGGCACTGTGCTGTGAATGCTGCTGGTGCAGCGACTAATGTTCGCACTTTTGCATTTATGGGCCTGTGTATGTGCACGAATAACATGTGAATGTTGCTGCTGCCGTTCCTCTTCCTGTTGTTCATTTTGTTGCAGTTTTTGTTGTTCTGCCTGATGTGCTGCACATTTTTGCTTTGGGCTGCCTTTTGAACTAAAGCAAACATTGTACCATTGTGTTTTATTCAGCGAATTTTCCACATCCTTTACTGATGCTTTTGTCGTTTGTATTATTGCTGATGTTGTTGCTGTTGGTGTAGTTGTTGTTTCTGTGGATGTTGCTACCGCCGCTTCTATTGTAGGTAGTTGTAGAGCTGCCATAGTTGTATTAGCTTGAGTGCCAGCTGGGTCAGTAGTGCTAATATTTGGCTGTTGCTCTTCTAACGTTAAACATACACTAGTGTTGTTGTTGTTCTCGTTGTTGCTTTTGTCGTTTGAGCAATTTTCGGTTTTTTGATGTTGATGCTGGTTCGGGTACTGTTGCTGTTTAGTGTTTTGTAGCTGCAACTTGTTTTGCTTATTGTTGATTCTTTTTGTCGTTTTTGGTTTTGTCGGTGTTGCTACTACTGATGTTGGTGCTGGCTCAGATATGCTTTCAAAATCCTCTTTTAAGGTCATGTGTGTTGTTTGTTGTGCAGCCTGACGAGCCATTGAAACTTCCTGATTTGGAATTTCACTAAAAGTTGTTATTGTTGTTGCGAATTTATCAGTATTTTCTGTTTCCATATGCGCTTTGGAGGACATTATCATCATCATCGTTGGCGTTGTCGTCGTCGCCGTTGCCATCATCTATGGGCCTCTGTTAGACTTTATTGAATTTACACCGTTTGTTTTTGGTTTCCACTGCTGCTAGTCGAATGGACGATTTTTGGTTAACTTTGTTTTGTTCTTTCTGCTGTTGTTCAATATGCTCTTTGTTTCAAAAATCATGAGTTAACATTTTTGTGAGTCAATTTTCCCAGCCTAAACGTTTTCATTTACAAAACAGAATCTTCCAACTTGGCGGCACTAACCCAACAACACACACATATTCACTTTATGGGAGGTATTTTTAGACAAATATTTGTTTGCGTAAATTTGTTGATTTTTTTACGTGAACAGTAACATGTGCTTGAATTTCACTGCAAATGACTTTTTTCACTTTCTTGAATTAAATATATATTTTTTTTATTTTTGGGTTTTGATTGTATTTTCAAACACTTTTGATTTCGAAAAATTTTCACAGTAGTTTTTTGCAGGGACTTATTTGTTTAGGTTTGTTTTTGTTTTTAACAAGTTAAATCTGAAAAGAAAACAAAGAAGAGGAAATAGCTTCAATTAAAGTAATTCGTTAAAACGCTCTATTCGTAAAATATATCATTTAAAATAAGTTCTTATATATTAAATGGAATATGCATTAAAAATAACAGCTCAATAAAAACAAGAATTAAAATAAACTCCTTAGAAATCGCTCATGATTATCAGAGATTTTTGGACTATGATATTTTTATTTAAAGATTACACCGTACGTTATTATCCCAGCTTCATATTATGAATTACGCAATATTAAATTGTGAATTTTTAAATAATAAAAGAATTATGGACGACAACCTGAGATTTCATCCCGGATTTGTTTTAAAAATATATTGAGGTTTTTATTTATCGCATAGGTTTATTACGTTGATGTTTTTTGAGAGATGTTCGACCCTAATGTTCATTTGTTGAACAAGTATTGTGATAAGCAATCTGCATTTTTTAAATAGAAATTAATAATTCTAATGCAAACTATGATTTTCTAAATGATTACTAAAATTTCAGAATATGTTGTAAATGGTTTTTATACCCTACACCATAGTATAGAGGGTATATTAAGTTTGTCATACCGTGTGTAACATCTCGAAATATACCGAAATATGTATATGTCCGTCCGTCTATACGCTGGTCCGTCTGTGGAAATCACTCTAGCTTACGAACGAAATGAAGTAGATTGATAAATTTTTACTAAAATGTATATAATATCAGCAGGACTTTTGGTATTGAAATCGAGCCATGTAGGTCCACGTCTTCGTATAGCCCCATTATATCAGGGTACCTCCCTATATTCGGTATTTTGTTGATTTTAGCGACATTATTCACCGGAGTTGTTTCAAATTTGGTATTTGAAGATCGAAATGAATACTACAGTCTAAGACAAAAAAATTTCTGTGCAGAACAACGTCTTCGTATAGCCCCCATGTAACGGAACCTCCCGATATTCGGTATTTTGATGATTTTAGTCACATTATTCGTCGTATAGACTCCAATATAACAGCGACATTCGGTATTTTTAAGATTTTAACCGAATTTTAACGGATTTTATTGTTTTAGAGAATTGTCATATTTGTTCGAAATATTGGAGGGTATTCAAAGTTCGGCCGGGCGGATCTTGGAGCTTATTTACTTGTTTTTTTCAATAATTGTGGGAGTATTCTATTTTATATGTAGCATATATTTTATTTTTAAGCCGCCAATATTTCTAAAGGCCTTGATACACTTATTTATTGTTAAAATTCATATCCCTATGAACCCTAAAAATATATATGATTTTCATTAAGATAGTGTTTTATTAGTGTTTTTCATAGCCATGTAATCCAATGAGACCATCCCTATTTTTTAGTCTGAATGATATGGAAACCGCTTTGAGACCACCAATTTTAAATGGCATGTGTCTCCTGAATTACTGTTTGAGAACAATAACCGTTCACAAAATTTCTGTATTACAACTGATTGAAAATAATGCGTTATTCCAAAAAATATGCAAAGCTAAATATTTTATTAGATTAGATTAGATAGATAGATAGATAGATAGATAGATAGATTAGAAGATAATGAGTAAAATCGGGAAAGAGTGTGAGAGGTTGTGTGTTCCACTCTCTCTCTCTCTCTCTCTCAATTCAACAAAAGCCGTAGTGTGCAATACATAACAACAATATTCGGTGCGAGGTATCATATAGACCATAGAAACATATAAATCTTTTTCGAGACCAGTTCACACTTTGATATGGCTCCTATATAAATCTTCATCTGAGTTCACATGTATAGTCAACTGCCAGAACGACTTTTCATCCTATTTGGGCATACATACATACATATATGATGAATCGATATTCTCGGCCGATCGCCTTGGTCGACTTTTATATGGCCTCTTCGGATTAGAAAGAGCCTTACCAGTCGAAATTTTTCGTATAAACGCTTAATGGTGTTCTTAGAAGGCGCACTTCTCACATTTTTTAATGTTTTAAAAGCACGTTGAGTTTTCACAATTGACTTCTTCTGTTGAATGTAAATTTCAACTATTTCAGAGCGCTCGCGTGGCGTGTATTGGTTCATGGTAAAAATCTGCTTGGACTGACGCTTAAACGCGGTATGTCATTAAGCGATGTGACATCTCTGTCAAAAGTTAAGGCGTTTCCAGATGGGTCCGTCGAATATGGGCAACCCTGTATATGTGTTTAAATTGTGTGGTGAAAATCGTCGAATAAGTACGACGAATATTGGTCTACAGAAAGTTTAGAGAAACCAAATTTAACTCGACGTTGAGTGAAAGCTCTTCTTTCGATTTTCTTGAAAAAAAAACTGGATATTAATTAAAATTTCCATGATGAATAATTTAAAGAGTTTCTAAACTATTTTTGTATTATTTGTAACATTTTCAGTTTATAACAAATCACAACGAAAACGAAACATAATAATACACAGAAGTTTACGTGCATTTGGGCAATTATCTTCAAGTCCTTAGTGTCTGAATTAAAAGTATTGTGGCACAAATGCCATAGCTATACTTATTGTGAAACTCGAATACTAGTTTAAATATACAATTGTATGAACCAAGACACGAAAAGTAAATGAAGTAGAAGAACATTTTGGTAATTTATTTAGTAGGATAGTACCAAGTCATCCGTTACACTATCTAGGGATATAATAATATATGTCCATATTCATATTTTCCAAATAGCAAAAAAAAACCATATACATTTCCAACTGGAGAAAATGTTTTTTGGTAACTTAACGTTTTTGGTAAGTTTATAGATTGAAAGTTTCCTTTACATAGAAGCTTTGTGACGAGTTTTTCTAAGCCATTCTGAACTAGAAACTAAACAAATCAGTCACTATTTTTTATACCCTCCACAATACATCTACCGAAATATTCATTTTAGACCCAACAAAGTACATATATTCTTGATCAGCGTAAAATTCTAAGACGATTAAGTGAGTATTTTAACTCCTGAAAAAGAATTGTTTATATAGGTCCACGATATCGTACATCCCCCATATAACGGTACCCCCGATATTCGGTATTTTGATGATTTTAGCCACATTTTTCAACGGAATGGTTCGAAATTGTACATATATAACGGTACCCCCCGATATTCGGTATTTTGATGATTTTTACCCACATTTTTCAACGGAATTATCTGAAAATCCACACAAGGAGTTCCTTGTGAGTACTTTACACCCAGACATAGATTTGTCTTAATAGGTTCACAATATCATATATCCCCCATATATCGGCACCTTTCTATATTAGATATTTTAAAGATTTTAAAAGAATTTTTAATGGATTTTATTTTTTTGAAAAACTTCTAATTCGTTCCAAATGGTGGAGGGTATTCAAAGTTCGGCACGGCCGAACTTACTGCTTTTTTACTTGTTTTAATTGAAAATTAAGGCAGCTTAATGTATTAAACTTGATTGAATGGAACAATTATTTGTTTTTTATCTCCGTCCCTACACTGGGTATCATGTCTTTGAACATAATTTCTTTTAACCGCATTCTGAGTCAAGTTATGCATGTCCGTCCGCCAATGCGTCAAATCATTTGTTTAGCTTAAGTACGAACACTGTTAAAACTGGCGATAATTGGTCCAAATGAAGGAATCGCTCCCATATATATCTCGGTCCGATTTGCGTTTTATTGTTAAACTGCAACCAAATTCAGACTGCCGTCATTTCTAAGCCACTAGTCCGACAGCTGTTAAAATTATTCCAGTGACAGCTCATTATATTGTTTACAAGCGTACAAAAGCATTTCGGTGAGAATTTTCCAGAAAAAAAGTTATTTGTGATGGAATTCAACTGTGATAGTGTGATTTCTTTATATATGGCTGGAAAACCACATGTGGCTATCGTTAGAGCATTCCAGCATTTAAATGTAGATAAATCTTTTGTGTCTCGTACCATCGCTCGTTACCATGATACTGGTAGCGTAGCCCGACGTCAAGGAAGTGGACGGAAGAAAACAGCAACATCAGCAGAAATGGTTCGAAAAGTAAAAAAGCGATTTGATCGAAACCCTCGTCGCAGTGGCCGAAAAAGGCTCGTGAGCAATATTTCATTCGGCAAATATTGAAAAATGAGCTCGTGACAAAGCCAATGAAATTCCATATAGCGCAAGAACTTACACCGCAACAGAAAGAAAATAGACTCAAAAGAGCTAAATAGTTACTTCGACTGGCCGAAAGTGGTGAATTGCCGAATTTGTTTTTCTGCGATGAGAAATCATTCGTTGTCCAACAGTTTGTTATCAAAAAAATGATCGTGTTTACCTCCCAAAGAGGTTGGCCACCAGAACTCAAGCGCCGGCCATGGTGATGGTGTGGGCAGCCATAATAGCCGATGGCCGCTCTCCGCTCGTGTTAATCGACCGTGGCATCAGAATAAATGCCGAATATTATCCGAAATTATTCTGGAGGGTGTATTAAAGCCTTGGGCCCGAAAACATTTTGGCCGCAGACCTTGGACATTCCAACAGGACTTAGCACCATCGCACTAAGCACAAGCCAACCAAAAATGGTTACGAAATGAGGTTCCTTGCTCAATTTTCACCGCACAATGACCACCAAAATCTCCGAATACCAATCCGTGGGACTATTGTGTTTTTGGAGTATTTTGGAAAATGCCGTTCACTCAAGCAAGCGCTTCGCCGAGAATGGGCCAAAATACCACAAAGCAACATTCGGGCAGCGTCATTGGTCATTTAAGGCCATAATTCGTGTCAAAGGTGACCAATTCGAACAAATCTTAACTTATTCTAAAATTTGATGCTCTTTTGCTTTTATTCAATAACATTTAAAAAAATGTAAAAATTATGGCGTTTGACTGTGTTGCATTTTTTTTATCTCACTCTGTATTTATTATTTAGCTGAGAAGTGGCCTTCTGGATTAAGAACATGGCTAATATCACCAGCTAAAAACTATCCTGTGACTATGTAAAATGGTAAGCTACTGCCTCGCCCTGGCAGAGCCTGC